TTTATGTTATTCACAGAGGAGGTATGCATTACACCTGACCTGTCTCCATAAGGTTCTTAGGTGCGGTAGTTTTCCGGATGTATGGGACAAGTACTCCTCATATGTCTTTTTTTACCTCAGTATATGCATAGCCCCTCTCTTCTACTATGTTGTCTTTCTGCCTCGGACAGTCTAGTGACCCCCAACTGCATCGGTTCGGGATCGGACTGTATAGAGAGGTCAGGAACAACCGGTCTGAAGAAATGAGGTGTTAATGGCAAAGCCATATGTCTGGTTTTATTTCTGGTTCTGAGTCTATTATCAATAAGCATAATAAACGTAACAAACTCAATGAGTTTTTTGGGTAGTACTTTGGCAGCAATCTCATCCAACAACCATGATGGCGGCCCTGTCTCAGATAATCCCTTCTTAAATGCTGAGATTAATCCGCTGTTAGTCCAGTCTACCTCGGAAGCCAAGGTGCGAAATTCTATGGCATACTCCAAGATAGACCGGTTCCCTTGTCTAATATGCATTAGGGCAGTGGAGGCGTCATCCTACCTGCCTAATGGTTCAAACGTAAGTTTCAATTCTGCAAGGAATTCCTGGTAATTGTGTGCAATGCTCCTACTACTCTCCCATAACGGATTGGCCGTTATGGGACGGTTCATCAGGTAACCAATTTTAGCTCTGTCAGTGGGAAAAGATCCCGGTGAAGCCTCAAAATAATACTCAATTTGGTTAATGAATCCCCGGCATTCTTGAATATTACCATTGAAATGCAAGGGAGGAGATAGGGAGATAGTAGGTACCTTATGTGCTACAGGAGGTACATTAGGCGGAGTTGACACAGCTGGAGAAGCTGCAGGTTGCAGATGCGCTGTAAGAGTAAGGAGCGTACTGGAAGCCCGGGTAAACTGATCCATATGGTGATCATTCTCCACTAGCTTTCTCTCACAAGCAGATATGTGCTGACACAATTCTACAGGATCTATGGCCATGTCGTAATGTCAGGATTACTACTTGATCCAGCACGTAGAATTGTGTCACACAGGTGGCTTATTACCGGGCCTTAGAATGGCCGGACTTAACGTACCAAAGAGTAGTCAGGATACTTGCCGAGGTCAAGGGATACAGAAAGAGACACATCGATAAGGGAACGTCAGAAGTCAGGGATACCAGAATACAGGGAAGTCAAAATCAAAGCCAAAGTCAAAAACCAGAAGAAACTTGAATCAGGAACGCTCTCTTGGGCAACCACTAAAGAAACCACGACAGGGCACTGAGCAGGATGAGAACTGGGCCTAAATACCACTCCTCTGAATCTGACAGGCTGTAATCGGCCTTTGACCCCAAAGGCAGTTACTAGGTTTCCATTTGCATAATTGCTGCTCAGCACAAACCCTCCTGTGGATTAGATTGCTGCTCGGCACAACTTTTCCTGTCAGGACAGTAAATGTCATTAATCACATTTTTATATGCGGATGAATACGTGACAGTTAGTTGCTACATATGGTTTAGCTTGTATATTGGGTGCAATCATTCTAGTGAGGAGAGTGTCATGATCTGAGAGTGGCCTGTTGTTTAAGATGTTTACGGCTGTAGGCAGGTTATCTCTCCATTTGTGCATTATCCCTTCACCAAGTATTCTCAATTGTTGTTTTAACAACCCATGCATCCTTTCAATCAGACCAGCTGCTTGAGGATAATAAGGTATGTGAAATATCCATTTAACATTGTTTTCATCACAAAAGTCTTGTACCAAATTTCCTTTAAAGTGACTTTCATTGTCACTCTGAATCTGTAATGGAAGACCATAGTACTGTATCATGGTTTCTAACATTTTAATAGTATTTATTTGGGTAGCCCTCTTGCAAGGGTGAAGCAATAAATACCCTGAATATGTATCCACAGCCGTGCATACATATTGACAATTTGTATTCAAAGGAAGCGGACCTATGTAATCTACCTGCCATATTTGCCCTAGTGTTTTTCCTCTTTGACCACGTACCATCCCTGGTACATTTCTGTTATGCTCATGCTGACACACTGGACATTACAGAATTACTGTTTTAATTAAATAAAGCGGCACTTGATTTGGCTTTCTCTCCCAAGTAAATGAAAAAAATATGTACACAACAATACAATGGATATGATAGGCTCAACACTTATGAGAGGGATCCCTATAAAGGACCACTATAGGCACCCAGACCACTTCAGCTTAATGAAGTGGTCTGGGTGCCTGGTCCAGCTAGGATTAACCCTTTTTTCTATAATCAGAGAAACTGCTATGTTTATAATGGGGTTAATCCAGCCTCTAGTTGCTGTCTCATTGACAGCCGCTAGAGGGATTCCACGCTTCTCACTGTGATTTTCACAGTGAGAAGACGCCAGCATCCATAGGAAAGCATTGATAATGCTTTCCTATGTACTGGCTAAATGCGAGTGCGGCTCTTGCCGCGCATGCGCATTCAGCCGAGGAGGAGGAAAGTCGGAGTTTCCCGCCTGGAGAAAGAGGTAAGTTGAACCCCTTCCTCTCCATCCAGCCTGGCGGGAGGGGGATCCTGAGGGTGGGGGCACATTTTCCAGGGCACTATAGTGCCAGGAAAAAGAGTTTGTTTTCCTGGCACTATAGTGGTCCTTTAAGCCCCACAATGAAAAAAACAGGCAAACACAATATAAGTGGAGCTCTGATATACCTTAATAAAAATATTGAGGATGTATACCCTTGATGTATCACTTTACAGAAATCTGTGAATGATATTTAACATGATAATAGTGCAGATGGTATGAACAATAATCTAATAATGAGTTAAGAGGAGAAGGTTATCAACTCACAAAGGTAGAGGCAATGGATAGCCTGGCTCTGGTGTGAAGTGCTCCTGGATCTGTGTCTTTAGAAACGGGATAATTATCAGCAAGGGTGGACAGAAGGACTTCAGTATATTAAAAAGTAAATTTATTGAACACAAATCCAATAGAATAAAAAATGATCATAAAGTACTTAAGTAGTCTTTGTAGTTACAGTCCAAAACGCGTTTCACCATCAGCTGGCTTCCTCAGTTGGTAAAAAGTATGTAACAGCTAGTTCTGTCTTTTATATCTTCATAATTGTCTAGATTACCAGCATCTGTGTATCCAGAAGTATCCATGGTGGAACACAGACCTTTGGCTTACCCACGACGATTCTCCTGTTTATGTCCATATCTGTACTGCGACTTGGACTTGGAGCATTATCCTGTACAGCCCCCGTGCACAGACTCACAGGCCAAGTGAGTTCTTACCTGACCACCTTGGCCTGTGTTTAATTGCAAGGGTGAGCATATCTCTGCATACCGGACTCCCACTAAGGTAAGCCGTGACACCAATGGAACGCACATTCCGTCTAATGGAACACACATTACGTCCATCTATCTAATTACATAACCTAATACCCACTTATTCTCTCCGTGGAACGCAGGTTTTCGTTTCACTTTCATATTTCCAAACGAAGAAATTAATCCATCCACAATTTGGTTTACTGGAAGCTCCAATGAAGTACATATAACCCCAAAAAATGAACATCAATTAATCCTTTTTACATGACTGCCTTAGAACTAAAAATACATTAATTAGAAACTATTATATGAGTTGCTTCTTATTTCATCTATATTTATATATTGCATGAGAGGGGGACACCCCACCATTAGAGATGAGGGAACCCGAACTGTAAAGTTCGGGTTCGTACCGAACATTAAGATTTTTGGACCCCAAACCCAAACACGGACATTTCAGTAACAGTTCGGGTTCGAGTTCGGTGTTCGGCGATTTAATGGCGCATTTTGAAAAGCTGCAGGGCAGCCAATCAACAAGTGCTTGACTCGTGTGCCCTTAGAAGCCATCACAGCCATGCCTACTAATGGCATGGCTTTGATTGGCCAGTGCAGCATATGACCCAGCCTCTATATAAGCCGGAGTCACATGAGCTCTTATTAGTGTAGGGAGGGATGCTGCAGTTGTGAGGGACAGATTAGGAAAGAATTCTGGTGTTGAATCTGCAAACTACAGCGATTATTTTTGTGGGTGCTATACTACATTTTTGTACCCTGCCCTGAGCTCAGTCCCATAGAGAATTAAGCAATCAGTCTGTTTGTTAGGTGGGCACTTGCAACTGCCTGTGTGCCATGCACATTATTTTAATCCTGTTTTGGTAGCTCAGTGGGCAACATCTAGGCATTTTTAAATACTGCTGTGACATTGCAGTTTGAAAAATTCACTTTTTTTTGGTGCTAAATGGTACATTTGTGGCCTGTGGTGAACTTTTGGCAGTCCAATAAAACCGTTAAATACTACTGTTACATTTTTGGTTTAAAAAAAAATCACACTTTTTTGTGCTAAATAGAACATTTGTGGCCTGCGGTGCATTTCTTGCAGTCCAATAAAAACCCTTAAATACTACTCTTACATTGTTGGTTTTAAAAAAAAAATCACACTTTTGAGACAGTGAAGTAACTGTATTAATTACGCCTGTCACACTGTTGTATGACCTCTAGAAATTTTTTCTCTTTAGGACACCGGCACTGCCTTACTGTCAGTGAACTTTAATTGTTGACTGTTGGCGGTTACATTGTCGCCTGACATAAACCATCTGTTAGTTTGGGCCTGAGGCAGATAGCAGTTTGTCGCATGTCCTTCCACCAACGAGGGTTGCAGGGCATTTCTCTTCCTCCTGTTGCCTCCTCCTCCTACTCCGTTTCCTCCTCTACCACCTCCTCATCCGGTCAGCGTAACAACTTCACCACCAACTTCAACACAGCCAGGGGGAAACGACGGCAGGCTGTTTTAAAACTCATATGTTTGGGGGAAAAACCCCACACCGCGCAGCTGTGGACGGGCATGGAACAACAGACAGATGAGTGGTTCTTGCCAATTAGCCTCAAGCCCTCCTGCTGCTCGTCTGTCTGCGCTGCAGCATAACTTCGGCCTTCCCACTCACCGCCTCATATGCGATGTACCCACAAGGTGGAACTCCACCTTGCACATGCTGGAGAGACTGTATGAGCAGCAGCAGGCTATAGTGGAGTTTCAGCTGCAGCACGCACGGGTCAGTTGCTCTGCACCAGACTTGCCCTCCAATAGATCCTCGTTAAAGGATTTAAAGTGTACTCATTACAATTACAGGGCCTCAAAAGGGTCCTGTATTGTTATTTTTCGTCACTACCTCCCCGCGTCAGGTGTGGGGTAAATTGCGCGCCTGCTGCCTTCCTTGGATGTGGTAGCCGTTTCTCTGGCTCCCTCTCTGGAATCAAACCCTGATTCCCTGTTACCCGTGGTCACCATGATAGGTGCAGAAAGTACCATTGAAAGTTAATAGGGCAGACATCCGAATGCGACGGATTACACGTAGACTGATATTGATTAAATATATATATAATTATTGTTATATATATTTATATATAATATAAAAAAAAATGTAAATACGTTAAAAAATAAAATTTTAAAAATTATTTTTTAAAAATTATTAAAAAATATATAGATATGTTTTATTTCGTTCTAACTGTATTGTGATATTAATATATATTTATATCAAAATACACATAGAACGAAATAATATATATATCTATATACATAAATAAAACAAACAAAACAAACAGAAAAACCTTGCACTCCCATGTACATTTAAATAAACCCAGTGCTTGATAAAGCCAGAAAAAATCAGCACTCCCAGGAATTTTGCAAAAAATCCAAACACTTATCTTTATTCCAGTAGTCAACGTTTCAGTTCCACTGGGGAACTTTCATCAGGACAGAAAACAATTTTAAAAAATCAGCATGGCTTAAATAAGAAAGGCAATCAGTAAAACTCATGGTTCAGATGTGCAGAGGATCAATCAGTCTCTCTTCCAAACGAGTGAGCGGCTGCAACCAGCCTCCGTCACTATGTCTGTGAGTTCTAGCTATTTCCTGACTATTCGCGTCTCCCATCTCCATGGAGACGTCGGACACATGCGCAATCACAGGCTACTGTTGCTCTGCGCACGAGAATCAAATCGCATACAATTACCAAAAGATACACTGTATCATACATATTGTGAAGAGACACACTGTTATTAATGCCTAGAATTCATAACATAAATATAAACTCCTCAAAGTGATCGCACTGTTTCTCAAAAATCTCTTACTCTATACAAATAGAATACAATGTCTAAGGAAGCCTAAATCCACAATCTTATACATTCAAATAAAAATCATCCTAAATCAATACTTATGTGAAAATTCCCTATAAAAATTCCCTATAAACACTCCTGTAAAGGAGAAGTTAGATATACATACACATGCAGCCTAACATGTGATCCACCCTTTTAAGTATATTTCAACAAATAGATTGCATTAAAAGTAAAGTGCTCAATTGTGCCTACAGACTCATAAGAGCCTAACTTTTTATAATCATCCATTTCAAGAGTGTGCAAAACCATTAGAAACATAGCAATATGCTAAATACATAATCTTAAGTGCATAACATTAAGGTGGTATGGGTGCCACTGTGCAAACCCAGGTGATGCTGTAAACTTAAGAAGAAAGGGAAAAAAAAATAGTAACACCTCCTTAATCATTGTAAAGTAGCAAACTTGAAATGCGAAAGCTTCAAAACTAGGCATCAAACCGATTCGTAATAAACCTCACACAATATTCTGAACCGTGGTTAAAGGAATGCCATGATGTACATTTAATAATCAATAACATAATAAAAAATACTAAAGTGAGCCTGGTAACATACTAGTGAACATATTTACATATTCTGATATTTTCCTAAACTGACTCCAACTTTTTTTCCACTACTATATAACCTATTAGAGGAATTAAGTAAATGTAAGTTTCTCATTGAGTCCATACGGGGCCAATGTCCCCAATTTCTGAATCCACCATGTCTCCTTCTGTAGCAGCTGCTCCTGTCTGTTACCCCCTCTCCTTGAAATTGGAAGATGATCTATCGCCACACACTTCAATGATGCCAAAGGATGGCCTTTCTCCAAAATATGTCAAATATGTCGTGCCACTGGTTTATCAGACTTCTTGTCCCTATAGGCCAATCTAATGCTGGACCTGTGCCCTCTTATTCTTTCGCAAAGTGCTGTTTCCGTCTTGCCAACATAGTTTAAGCCACACGGGCATGACAATTTATAAATTACATAATCTGTTCGACAACTTATCCTATGTTGAATCTTGAACAATTGGCCCGTGTGTGGATGATTGAAACTCTTGCACGGTATAAGGTGTCCACAGGTAACACAGCCTAGACATGTTAAACATCCGTAGTTTGCTACGTTTTTACCTACCAGCATATAACTTTGAACTGGGTCAGTGTGGACCAAAAGGTCCCTTAAATTCTTATTATTTCTGTAGGAAATCATTGGTCTACTGTGGAGACTATCTGGGAGGCTCTTATCATTCTGCATTATGTGCCAATTTTTAGTTATTGTCTGACAGATTTCAGAAGTAGCTGTATTGTACATCATTGGAAAAGGAATTCTGATGTTCTTCTCTTGAGGTTTCTTCTTTTTCTCTTTTCTTTGTTCTCTTGCTTTTTCAAGTGCTCTGTCCAGCACTTTACTTGTGTATCCTCTCTGTGTAAATTTGTTATACATTTCCTGTAATTGTTTTTCACATTGTACTTCTCTCAAGTTATTTCTCATAAATCTCACAAACTGGGAAAAGGCAAGGAGTTCTTAATATGTCTAGGATGCGCGCTCTCATAATAGAGCCATGTATTGTGGTCTGTTGGTTTCGTATAAAGTTGATATTCAATCCTTCCTTGTTCAACTGATATCTCCAAATCCAGAAACTGTATAATATGATCATTAATGTTCGAAGTCACTTTTATAGGTGTTGTTAATACATTAACGTCCTCTACAAATTCCAACGCTTCTTGAGTGCTTCCTTTCCATAGAATAAGAATATCGTCAATATAACGAAAGTATTTTATAATACTATCAGAGTACTTTTTAAGGATATGTTCCTTTTCAAATTGGTACATATAAGAATTAGCATGCATGGGGGGCATAGTCGCCCCCATGGATGTTCATGCTTTTTGTAAGTACCACCTTGTCTCGAATCAGAAATAATTATTTTTCAATGCAAGTGATAGAAGTTCCAAAGTATACTCAATAGGTGGTCCTAGATAATGTGTCGTTTCCATCAGTAATTCCCTCATAGCATCAATTCCCCCCTCATGGGGTATCACTGTATACAAGCTAGATACATCTAAAGTTATCAAAGTAACCGGTCCATCTAATGTTTTCACGTTACATTTGAAATTGAAATTCGCCAGATTGGTTACGTTGCCTTTGAGACCCTATGGTAGCCCAAGAATTAAAATTACCCCTATCTTTTTTAGTAGCCACTTAGTCACAAACACTGGCCAAAATTGGCGTTTTTTTTGCATTTTTCACACAAACAAATACTAACGCTAACTTTGGCCAGTGTTTGTGACCAAATGGCTACTAAAAGACTGGACATACCCCATTTGCAATACCTTGGGTTGTCTACTATTGCAAATGGTATGCCATTATGGGTGTAAATTTCATTCCTGGGCTACTATAAAGTCCCAAATGCAACGTAACCAATCTGGCGAATTTCAATTTCAAATGTAACATGCTATATTTGACCCTGTAACTTCCCAAAACGCCATAAAACCTGTACACAGGGGGTACTGTTTTACACGTGAGACTTTGCTGAATACAAATATGTGTACAAATATGTGTATTTTATTGCAGTGAAAGCAAACAGTATTATGATATTGACAGTTAAAATGTCATGTAGAACTAAAGAAAATTAAAAAAATCTTATTTTCTCCTATTTTTTTCATATTAAATTATGTTTCATAGCTAAATATTTGATATTAAATGAAAGCCCAGTTTCCCCTGAATAAAATGATATATAATAAGGGTGGGTGCATTTAATATGAAAGAGGTGAATTACCGTTGGACAGACATGTAGCGCAAATGCCAAGTTTTGTTTACATTTTGCTTCGTTCACAACGTGTACATTTGGTTCAGTCCTTAAGGGGTTAATGTAGTGTATCACCAAATTAATATATATATAACACAAGGTATCTTCTGGCCGTATTGCCTGTCTCCCATCCCTACTGTGATACAGCTTATACTTATCCATCCTGTAACAAGGATCCACTACGATCTTCTGTTGACACACATCATCATCCTAATACAGCTTTGCCTTGCTCTATGGGAACACTAGATCTCATCATTAGAAAGGAATAGCTAAATGGGAGACTGGAAGACTGAGAGAAAGAACAAAACAAAAGAAAAACAAACATACATACAGATGTAGAGAGCAACACAAAATTATGAGTGTTATTGATTGCTGAGACCCCCCAATTGATCAATCTTTTCCTCTTCTCTCAACTGTTCCCTCAGCGCTTTCACGTCTGCCTCCAATCTTTCAGTCTGTCTCTTTAGGTCCCAGTAGTCTCTATTCCCTTCTTTATTCCTCCAATTATCCCAATTCCGTCTATTGGTCTGATGCTCATCCCATCTATGGTTCCTTCTCCAATTATTCTCCCAATAACTGTTCCTGTTGTTTCTCAGTTTTTCTCCCCAAGTGTGATTTTCCCAGTTAATATCTGTCCTTTTTAGCCTCACCCAGGTATTTTTATTATTTCAATTATTATTGATTACCTTAGGCCCCTCCCATCTATTCCTCCAATTATCTCCCATTACATTCCTATGGTCCCTCTGTGGATCTCTCCATCTTTTGTCAAAGTCCTGTTTTGGTCTCCAGTTCTCATTATACCTCTTGTTCTGGGGTACATCCCACCTCTGGCTTCTCCATTTACCATCTATATCTCTACCAGAGTCGACCTTGAATGTTCTTATGGCTGAAACAGAGAAGGCCTGTTCTGAGGAAGGATGCTTGATCCACCAATTGTCAGCTCTAGTTAGTACCATTTCTAAGTCTGCTGGTGTTGGATCAAAAAGCCTCACAAATTCTTGACACTCCCAGGGAAGGACTTCCATTACTTTAGCAATGTGTTCTGGTGAGCCCAAGACCAGAGGCTGTTGAGGTTGGCGTAGCGTATACTAGAACAATATCCTTTGAGCTACCTCTCTAGGACCATCTGCTGGCCTCATCATAATATTAACTATTTCTTTCTCTATGCTGAGTAGATAGAAAATCGTTGCAGCAATTCTTCCTGCCTGATCAGAAACACTGTTATTAAATCCAAATAGTCTGCTAGCCAAAGGACCCATAGCATATTCTAACAGTTCTGTCCATTCTTCTAAGTTAAGACCTCCTTTTTTTGCTCTATTTGCTCCCCTCATAAACCAATGTGTAAAGGTGTTAAAGTCGTCAGTTGGCATACTTCCCCACCATTTCTGGAAATTATCTTTGTCTGTGATTGACATAGTCCTTGTTTGTCTAGAGAAGCTAGTAGGCATTTCTCTTGCATTAAAATGTTCAGTTATTATTATAGGGGCTTGTGGGACACAATTTACAATTGGCACATTTCCCTTGTGTTTTGTTCCCAGCACTGTTTCTTTACTTTCAGATATAAAATAAGACTGGTCTGGGCATACTCTAGGAATCTCCTTATCCCATTTATTTGTGTTTTCTTTAATTTTCATTTTATATTCCATGACTAGGTCTTGGAGTTCAGTGATCTTAGCACTATATGCATCTCTCTGTTGTTCTATTTCTCTTAACTCCTTTTCTAGTTCCCCAACAATTGTAGTTGTTCTCAAAGCTGCAATTTTTAAACAATCCCTTTTGTCCATTGCTTCCTCCATTTTATTTGTTGTTTCCAAATTATGCTGCAGTAATTCTACAACTATGTCTATTAGGCCTCCTATTGTGGCTACAACAGCTTGTGTGACCAAACTTTTTCTTTTCTTTGTTCTATACTTTTTGTTATTTACAATTTGTGTTAGTACATCCATTAATCTCTCCTCTTTTTCACTGTCTGGGTTTGCTGGCTCTGGAAGCTCATATGGACCATCATGTTTTTGAATATGTCTCCTAAAGTACTCACGTACTTCTGTGGAAAAGTATTTGGCCCCTTGAAAAGACATTCCTACTCTTTTACTCACCCAAGTAAGAACCCAATTTAAATCAATTTGCAACTAAAGTAGCACGCTTCTGAATAGCCAACAATAGTTGATGTCTATTCAGTAGGCCAGGTGTAAATAGAGAAAACAAAAAAACAGAACTCAATTACCTTCGTATGCAGGGCCGGCGCTTCCTATAAGGCGAACTAGGCAGCCGCCTAGGGCGCCATATAGGAGGGGGCGCCCTGCACCCCCATCGCCGGCCCTTTAAATTCTGCAGCCGCCTGAGCGTTCTATAGAGAGCGCTCAGGCGGCTGCCGCAGTGCCTCACCTCCCCGGCCCTGTAGCGTGGCCGAGCTCCTTTCCGGTCCGCGACCCGGCCGGAATGACAGGAAGAGACCACTAATGGAAAGTCAGGGAGAAAAGGAGACCACTAAGGGAGGTGGGGGGGAGAGGAGAGCCCACTAAGGGGCAGGGGAGATCTCTAAGGAATGGAAGGGAGAGCTCTATAGGACAGGGGGACAGGGAGCTCTTTCACACCACGCGCACACACACACACACACACAGTGCATCCCTATACACACAGAAACACAACATGCTTCCCTTACACACAGAGAAACACACAATGCAACCCTTACACATAAAGACAATGCATCCTTTGCACATATACACAGAACACACACAATACATCCCTTACACACACATGCAAACACACACTGTTTCTCTTACACACACACACAGAAACACAATGCATCTCTTACACACACTCAACACACCCCTTACAGACACACACACTGCATCCCTTACATACACAGAAACACACTTTGCATCCCTTATGCATACAAACACAGATTCACACAATGCATCCCTAACACACAACAAGAAACACACAATACATCCCTTATACACAAACACTCACTGCTTTCTATCCCTTACACAAACAACACTGCATCACCTACACAAACTGGTATCCCTATACACTACATTCCGTAAGCACACACATTAGATCCTCTACAGTAACACATAACACATCCCCTACACACTCTACTCCCTGTGAGTTCATGGGTGGAACATGTAGGTGGCCTTATGGGTGGGCTTTATGGGCATACTCACCGTCAGGCCCTGGGGCCCAGACCTTGAGCTATGTAAGAGGCCCCCAAAAATGGAGCTGCTTCCCGTTCTCCCAGAACATTAAATTTTGTGACCACAGTTGCAAACAGCCTCCAGAGATCCTGTTCTACACCAGACCAGTGGAGCCAGACTGCAGCCAGAGCCCATCACCATCCTCATCTGATTGTAAGTAGGCAATCTAGTATATTATTAGTGACACTAATCTCTAATTTACCTCACATTAAATGGACACTATAGTCCCCAGAACCACTGCAGCTTAATAAAGTTGTTCTGGTGTCTATAGTTTGTCCCTGCAGGCTTTTTAATGTAACACACACTGTGTGCAGCACTGGCATTAGTTCATGGGTGGGGCATTGTGATGTTCAGGCAAATCTTTCTTTTGCCTAGGGCGGCAAAAATCCTTGCACCGGCCCTGTTCGTATGCTAAACACAATGGGTGGGGAACACAATATCCACAACTCTACTGTGAAGCTTGATTTAGGATATGCCCTAAACACATGCCCAGTTTTGTTATATGTAGCAAAATAGACTAGTATCCACAATTAAAATTATATTTACCTTAGTATGGTGAAGGTAATACTTGCTAATTAACTTCAAAACCAGTAGTGCCCAAATTAGCATATTAAAATATAATAGCAAGGCCTGGAGGGTAGGAGTTATACCTGAACTAGGATATTCAAGACACACACAAAAAAGTAAAAAGTATGGAAGCCTATAGTGTATTAAAATGCAGGCCTGAAATAAATAAAATTAAAAAAAAATTCTCTAGGCTTGTACTATGATAGAATATTTGAAACACACAAAAACCCTTTATTATACCTTTGTTTTATGTACAATAAGCTAGTACAATATAAAGGATTAATATATTCAAAATTGAGGCCTATGCTGGTAGTGTATTAAAAAATGAAGGCCTGAAAAAAACTTCTAGGCCTAAACTATGGTAATCAAATCAGCATTCAAATACAAAACGAAGCAGCATGGAAGCCTATTATAATGCAGGGCTAGGCCTGTACTCTGATAGTCAAAACCCAATAAAACTCAACTCAGATATTTGAAACACACAAGAAAAACTAATAATATATTCAAAATCGAGGCCTGATGCCCAAGCTTGTATATTAAATGGAGGTCTGCATTAGGATACAAAAGAATCAAATCAGCATTCAAATACAAAAAGAAGCCCCATGGAAGCCTACTATAGTGTATTATAATGCAGGGCTAGGCCTGTACTCTGACACAACATAAAACACAACAAAACTCAACTCAGATATTTGAAAACCACAAAAAACAACCTGTATTATACCTTTGTTTTATGTATCAAAATAAGCTAGTACAATATAAAGGATTAAAAACAATAATATATATTCAAAATTTAGGCCTATGCTGGTAGTCTATTAAAATAAAAAAAAATAAAAAATAAGGCCTGAAAAACTACTAGTCTAAATTTCAAGTACAATCTCATAAAATTATGGAAGATTTTAAAGAAAAAGGGTATAAAGAAATATTATTGACTAAAGCATCTGAAGAGGTTAAAATAAAGGATAGAAAAGATTTAATTAAATTCAACACAAAAAATGAAAGAGAATGAAATACAATAGTATTGATTTGTGACTTCATTTGCAAACACAAAGAATTTAGGAAAATAGTTCCCAAATATTGGCCAATTTTAAAAAATGACCCCCTGCTCAATAGCATTCTCCCAGAGAATCCAAAAATAGTTTATAGAGGAGTAAAAAATTTGAGAAATACCTTGACATCTAATCACATACCTCCTAAAAGACATAATATGAACTTTTTTAATGAATCAAAAGGCTTTTATGGTTGTGGACACTGAGGTGCATGTAAGAACTCAAAGAGCAGGAAGAGAATAATAAAAGAATTCTCACACCCCCAAAACAAGAAAATTAAGTTTAAAATTAAAGAGTTAATTACATGCCAATCTACGAAAGTGATTTATCTTCTAACATGCCCATGTGGGTTAGCATATGTAGGACGCACTAAAAGAAACCTACACATTAGAATACAGGAGCATATTAGGAATATCAGAAACGGCTTTGAAAAACACAGTCTCTCCTTACATTTTAAGAATACACATAATAGTGACCCTACTCTATTAGAATTTCATGCGATACAGAGAGTCCAGCCTGATTGGAGGGGAGGTGATTTTATTAAGAAACTTGGCTAAAGGGAAATGCAATGGATTTTTAATTTAAATACTATGCAGCCTAATGGACTCAATGATGATTTCGAACTTTGTCATTTTTTATCATAAATTATATTTAATATATGTTTTTTATACATTTTTTATACATGTATTATATATATTTTTTAGGATTATATATGTTTTTTTAAATATACTCTTACATATTTTTATTTAAGTAATCATTGGGCTAGCTATCTTTTTCATATATGCATCTTTTATACATCTCATTTATATATTCCTACTCTGTGAAACTAGTTCTCCTTAATCCCTTGGATGTGTTATTTCTTTTGTGAACTGGCACTTTAAATGATTAATCATAAATTATGTGCCTTGAATATATACTGTATTAATTAATATTTGATATGTGATTATTATTCTCCTCCCTCTTTAAAAACCTTTACATGGATACCGTTTATAACGAACTTCTGCACAAAGAGGGCGTTCGCCCAAACCTAAGATGGACACCACAGTTACATATTCCGGTTTGTAACGCGGCACGTGACGTTCTGAGTCACGTGGGACGCGCCTGAAATCGGAAGCTTGACGGCTACCAATAAGAATTATCCTTCAAAGAAGTATGTCGGTATGGGGATTGGATAATAAGAAGATTGGAGCACCAATCAAATAGAAAGATATTTAAATCTCCACAAGCAGCAAACACATTACCGATTGAGAAAGCTGTCACAGTACAGCAAAACGCGTCTCGGCTGGAAGAAAGGACTTTTCATTGACATTTTATTCATTTTTCTTTTTTATTTATATAATTTAGTACACTTCCTTTTTTTTGTTTGCATTATATTTTAATGAAGAAATTTTGTCCAACATTGAAGTCCTTCTTCCATCTTTTTGCTGCTAAAAGAAGGGTGGTAGCCTCCTTAAAGGCACCGATACCTACATACTCTGAGCCAGGTATAAGGGCTCCCTACCAGGTGAGAAGCCATTTATTTAAATATTCACCATTGAACATTGTGATTTACTACACAAGGATCTCTCCTTTTTTACTTCCTTTATGTATGTATAAGGACCACAGACGATTAGAGGATCGATTGGGTTTTGTGTCGCCTAAAGTACACATACGCCGTTGTGATCTGAGCCTATCCTAATTGGCTCAGTTACATGTGAGTGGGTCTATATAGTATATTTACTTATTGTGTCTGTTACCCAGCGTTACTTGCACTATTTGTATTTATATTTGTTTCAGATACACTGTTTCAGAGTATCCCCTTTATACATTTGTATGCATACCCATATGGGTAAGTTGGTTAACACTTGAGCGCTCCACATGTACACCAGTGGTGGTTTTTTCTAATCTCCTACACTGAGTGTTCACTTTGTTCACTGAAAAACTACTAGGCCTGAACTATGGTAGTCAAAACACAACAAACTCAGGTATTTGAAACACACAAAAAAAACTAATAATATATTCAAAATTGAGGCCTGATGCCCAAGCTTGTATATTAAAATGGAGGCCTGCATTAGGATACAGAGGAATCAAATCAGCATTCAAATACAAAAAGAAGCCGCATCGAAGCCTACTATAGTGTATTAAAATGCAGGGCTAGGCCTGTACTCTGAAACTAAACTCAGATAATTGAAAACCACAAAAACATTATACCTTTATACCTTTGTTTTATGTAGCAAAATAAGCTAGTACAATATAAAGGATTAAAAACAATAATATATTCAAAATTGATGCCTATGCTGGTAGTGTATTAAAATAAAATAAAAAAAATGAAGGCCTAAAAAACTACTAGGCCTCAACTATGGTAGTCAAAACACAACAACTTCAGGTATTTGAAACACACAAAAAACTAATATATTCAAAATTGAGGCCTGATGCCCAAGCTTGTATATTAAAATGGAGGCCCAAACTAGACTCCACACACAATCAGCCCTTGATTTCCCATGCAGAGGATAATTAAACAAAGTACTTTTTTTTTCTCCCCCAAAAAAATAAATCTGACTATCTATTAATGTGTTATTACCTCATAAATAACCTTTGTAGAAGTCTTAAATTCGTGGTCGCCAAATTTGGTGTATCACCAAATTAATATATATATTACACAAGGTTCGTCTACATTAAAAGGTATTTATTAAAAGGCAACAACACAATACTATAAATGTATCACAAACACACAGCCCAGACCCACGGAGCAACAACCCTTTTTAAATCTATCTATATAGTAATCACCTTCCCCACACGTTTGATCTCACCCATGGTTAGGCCTTCACATCTAGTAGTGGCTTACTGCTGCAAGTTTAACATCACATCCACCAAGGAAGAAAAGGAAGCAACACACAGTAACATAGTTCACCAAGATAGCACATGGTGTCTGCTCTGTAGCACAGCCAAGAAGGAACAGAGAGGAATGTAGAAAGGGGGAAGTAGTTATCTCTCTCCTGACTTGTAAAGGTATTGAATTACCCGATTACCATATCAAAGGGTAAAGCTTACCCCCCCTGTAAGAAAGGCATACATGAGTTTGGTCACATGACCGCTGGTCACCATATTAGTTTGATGACAGAATGTCACCACAGTTAAAACAGCTCTTTTTTTTTTTGTGATGCAGCAGAAGCTAAACCTCGTACAATGTCACTTTCACCTTCACTGAAAATTATAGTTGAGCGGACACCTGGATGTTCGGTTTCCGGCGCGTTCGGCCCAAACTTTTAAAAAAAGGATTGAACTTGACCCCGAACCCCTTTGAAGTGAATGGGGACCCGAACTTTTGGGCACAAAAATGGCTCTAAAAAAGTCCTGGAAAGGGCTAGAGGGCTGCAAAAGGAAGTAAAATGGGGGTAAGAGTAGGAGAAGTGCCCTCAAACAAATGTGGATAGGGAAATCACTTAAAATAACATAAAATACATAAAATAAGCAGCCGCTTAGTAGATAACTCCCTAATTCCCACGGTATTCTGGAGCTATCTACCAAAAGACCGAAAGACCTAAATTGGTCTTTCAGCCAAATTTACTAATACTAAGTAAAGATTACTTAGTATTAGTAAATTCAGCCCCTACTAGCTATATCGTGAGTAAGGGTGTGTCTAGTAAACAGTGAAAAAAAAAACCTATTGCCCCCACCCCTGTGCGACGGTTGGGGGCCCTAAATAACAATGTGGAGGGGGGACCTTCTGTCCCCCCCCCCCCTGGCCCCCACTCTTGAGCGGTGGGTGGGGGCCATAAATAAGAATTTGGGGGGGTACCTACTGTCCTCTCCCCCTGGCCCCCACCCCTGAGCGGTGGGTGTGGGCCATAAATAAAAATTGGGGGGGGAACCTACTGTCCTCCCCCCCGGCCCCTACCCCTGCGCGGCGGGTGGGGACCCTAAATAACAATAAGGGGGGACCTACTGTCCCCCTCGGCTTCCACCCCTGAGCGGCAGGTGGGGGCCCTAAATAAAAATGTAACCCCTCTGCAAGTGACTAAGGGTCCCCAAACCCCTAGTCACCACTGTGACGAGACCAATCTCGCCACTGTGCATTGGAGGAGCCTGGTTGCCCGCCTGCTGCCTTTAGACTATGGCCCCATGTTGAAATGCTTGATTTTCCCTTGCAAAGACACGAAAGCCGGGTCATTCGGTACTTGCCCTATTTGAACAGTGATACCCCAGATAGCTATGCCATGGAGCCCATTCGTATAACGAAAGACTATGTGAAAGACTTTGGCTCCATGGCAGTTGAACTGTATGTATGTGATCTGAGCTCCATTCAGTAATAATGTGTGCTCAGGTCTAAGCTATCTGGGGATATGTTGAATGTACCTGTTTTATCCAATAGCTGCACAGTTATATATTTTAATGTATTTTATTGTCTTTTGCTACCATGTGGCTAATGGAGTTTTGTCTCTGTCCTTGGAGATAATTGGATTACTTCTGTGGAACTGGTTTTGGGCAAAAAAAGCCATGCTTCATTTGGTCACAAAGGACTACGATCTATCTTTTGAACCACTGGACCAATTTGTATGATTTTGACGTATGTTTGTATTTGGAGTATGCTGATTCTGAAAATGTATGTGAATGTGATGCATACTTTTAAAATTATGAATAATGTGGAAAAACTGTATTTCTCTGCCTGTAATAATTACATTACCCATTGTGTAAGGTAATTGTATCATAGGCAGAGGGGAGGATTTTGTGTGGGAGTGTCTGAGTGTATTGTACGTGTTTATTGGTTGTTTTCCAAAACCCTGTGGGTGGTACTAATGTGTGTGTATATAAGAACAATAAACCCACAGCTACACACTACATACTACATACCTATCCCACCCCACAATATATTCCTTTAACTTAATTAGGGGGCCCGATAATATAAATCGCTTGCAAAACACTCTTATGAAATAAGTTTGTACTCCTAATGCTAGTGTTCCTAGTTTTTTTCCACCCTTATCTATATATTTGCTAGCAATTCTGCTAGCATAATATAGAGATAGAATTGCATGCTCTTTAAAAATACCAGAAGTTATGTGTACCATAACAAGCAGAGGTCGGCTCTCTAATTAGGCAATTTAGGCGGCCGCCTAAGGACTCGCGCTGGCTGGTGCCTCGCACCCGCCTAAATCGCCTTAGGGCAGACTCACATGTCGGTTCTTCGGTCTATGACCAAGGGGCCCAACACAGGAAGAGGCCCCACTGCTGCCCTGATGGAGATCCATCCTCTGCAGCAGCTGCCGGGAGTGAGCTGCCCCCTACCCTGCCACAGCCCTCCTTCTACCCTTTCACAGCCCCCTTTTACCCTGCTCTGCCCCCCCTCTAACCTGTCACTGCCCCCTACCCTGTCACTGCCCCCACACCTTATAACAGCCCACCTAATCCTGCCTCAGCCCCTCACCTTGTCACAGCCCCCCTAACCCTGTCACAGCCCCCCTAACCAAGTCACAGCCCCCTAACCAAGTCACAGCCCCCTAACCCTGTCATAGCCCCCCACCTTGCAACAGCCCACCAAACCCTGCCACAGTCCCGCTCACCCTGTCAAGTCCCCCTAACCCTGTCACAGCCCCCACCTTGTTACAGCCCACCTAACCCTGTCACAGCTCCCCTACCTTTTCCAGCCCCCCCCCCCTGCCACAGCCCCCTCAAACTTGTCACAGCCCCCACCAACCCTGTCACAGTCCCCCTAACCCTGTCGCAGCCCCCCATCAACCCTGTCACAGCCTCCACAGGCTTCTACCCTGTCACTGCCCCCCCTATCCCTGTCACAGCTCCCCCTACCCTCTCCCAACCCCCTGATTAGAAGCCCACGAGGTCCACCCTTAAGCCCATAATCTCTATGCATATGTTGGATTTCATGTGCGCTACCATGGTAGCCAGTTAAGAGCTGAAAAGTGTGAGGATGTCTGCAGAGAGCTTTGAAGGTCCTGGTGTGGAAGTGAGCACAGGAACTCATCCATAAGGCCTGAAGCTTGGGCCCCTTAGCTTCCCGTCTCTGCAGAGGCATTCCTGGGTGTTTAACCCCTTAAGGACACATGACATATATGTCAAATATGCTGTTTCAGGCCCCAGACTATAAAAGCACAAATAGTATGCATCTATCAGTTTTTTTTCCACACAGATTTTGGGCAATAGTACTCATTTAATTAATTAGAAAGCATCTTAAATATGCTGAGATAACCATAAATTGTAAAAAAATATCACAAATCTAAGTGTGGAATTGGCTTGCCAAGGGGACTATAGTATAGAAACTTTACATATGGACAGAAATATACACTGCTCAGAAAAATAAAGGGAACACTTAAACAACACAATGTAACTCCAAGTCAATCACATTTCTGTGAAATCAAACTGTCCACTTAGGAAGCAACACTGAGTGACAATCAATTTCACATGCTGTTGTTCAAATGGGATAGACAACAGGTGGAAATTATAGGCAATTAGCAAGACACCCCTAATAAAGGAGAGGTTCTGCAGGTGGTGATCACAGACCACGTTTCAGTTCCTATGCTTCCTGGCTGATGTTTTGGTCACTTTTAAATGCTGGTGGTGCTTTCACTCTAGTGGTAGCATGAGATGGAGTGTACAACCCACACAAGTGGCTCTG